AAAATTATATCCAGCAGAAGGCACTCTTGAGGGCAGGGGCCATTTTGTTTTTGCCTTTGAGTCTCCACGAGGTTTGAAATTGCTCATGGAAGCAATTTCACTGCTGATAGGCACAAAGACTTTGACCTGCTTCATTTCCGACCTGGGTCAGTTCTCCTCTCCTTTGGTAGCCCAGCTGCCTACCCCGCCCCACTTTACTGGGTGGTCACAATATCGGTGTCAGACTGAATGCAAATGCCCAAGCAGCTTTAGCTACTCAACTCAGAACTCCCAAACTCAAGAGATCCAACAGCCTCAGCCTCCCCAGCAGCAGAGTCTAGAAACGTTGGCTGCCGTGTCTGGGGACTGGGGTGTTCTTGCCAGCGATGTAAATCAGAGTTCATCCAACTCTACCCATCCTGTGTAACTCTTGGCCATGTCTTCCCCTATGTTCAGTGCTGGACACCTTGACACTACAAGGATACCAATGGAATACATGGGCTACTGGTTACTCTTTATTCTTACTGTGTGACTTGTACATCTTTTTTAAGCTATGACACAGGTCACAGCTCTCGATTTGGAAGGGATATCAAATCCAAACCACTTCATAGATGAGGAAGCTGCAGCCTGGAGGAAATTAGGTAATCACCTAATTTCTTTTGCAAGAACCCTTCTGAGGCCAGATGCTCATATGTTTCTTTGATATTCTTCATGTCGCTTCTCTTGTGTGGCAATCTGCTCCCACCTGTCATGTATTTCTTCATTGCCCTTGGGCTGATCCTCCACTTTTGTTCTTCAGACACTGTTATTTCAGGACTCACAGCCATACATTCCCATCAGAAGAATATTGCATTTTAAAAAGGGACTTTGTTTCAGGAAAAAGCTTGGGGTCATGAACTTTTCCATTTCCCAGAGGTAACCCCGCTTGTTCTCTCTCTGCTCAATTCTTGGCCTAGTTCATCTTCCATTTTCAATGTCTATCCAAGATATGTATCTGTGTATATACATACATATATATATGTATATATATATGCATATATATATATATATATATATACTTGTGTGTGTGTGTGTATATATATATATGTACATATATAAAAAATAGAATCCTAACTGATCATCCCATCTTCATTCTTTTGTCTCCAAATATCTTCAATTATTGCCTTAATATTGCCTTAATTTACTTATGAACTAATCTGGTCATTACCCAAAAATCTCTGGTGGCTCTCTTACTGCTATTTAAGTATCACAACAGAAGTGAATCACAAAAAGCCTATTTTCTCTAAGCATAGGCTGTTGCATAGAACTATAGCACTAAATGCAATACAGCATATTGGTTTATAGACCTGTAATTGTGGTCCAGTTCCAAAAAGCCTCAAAGAATGTAAGAAAATACATATATAATAATAATTTTAAAAAGCTCATTTAGCTCTTAATTTAGACTGAGGGAAAAGAGACCCGACTGAAGAAATGAAAAGTCTTAGTATTTTAAAAAAATCATTTTATTTCTTTCAAATACATAAAGTGGCTTCAGTGTTGACAGAGGCACAAATGGCCCTACTTTGATGGATAAGAACGATTTGTAACTAGTCAACTTTAACATATGCTTCAAAAATCCTCGGAGGCATCAAATTCATTTAGTCTGTTAAATAGAGCTCCTGCAATTTTATTTACATCATTTGCTTCACAAATTTTCTAATCTTATAAAGAGAAAGGGTAAACTAGTCCAGTCCATTTTTGAATTATCACATTCTGAATTAGCAGAATCTGACTAATGAAGCTCTGCTGGGCCAGCATTTTAAGCCAATTCTCCATCTTCACCATAATCCAGAGAGAAGTGATAATAGCTCAAATAGCTTAGCACTTCAAGGTTTGCAAAGTGCCTCACGCATTAATTTCATTTCATCTTTACAACCCGAAGAAAGCAGGTATCACATACCATCACCCCCATTTTTGAGATGAGGAAACTATGGTCCAAAAAAGCTAACTGACTTGTCTAGAGTCACCCAGCTATTAAGCATCTGAGGCAGGACTGAAACCCACATCACCTAACTTTAGATCTAGCACTCCCCTCATCAAGGCCCAGTGCTCAACACCCATTTCTTTCCCCTCAGGCCACAAAAGCCACTTTTGCACTGCAAAAATTTTGACAGTGGAAAATATGGATACTACTAAGTTCCATTAGGATTTCCATCTAATTTCTCAGCTTGAGCTCCCTTTTCCCCTCCATTTCTTATTTTGGAAATAGCCTTGGGGTTGTGTTAAATCTTTCCGGCAAGGAGGTTGCCTGTGCCAGAGCAAGATCTAACTTGCTGCTGGATTCTGAGTTTATAGCTGTATTCCCTTCACATGGAACAAATGTGAACTGCTCTTATTATCCAGAGGCCTTGTTAGGGCCAATTCTTCCCAGCTGACTGGTCAAGGGAACAGATTTAAAGTGGATGGTAGCTTTGTATCCCCATCACGCAAGTTCAGTTCAGTTCCTTAAGAGATCCACTGATCCTCCCTGGAAATGTTTTCACTTAACAATTTTGATTCTTGATTTTTCTTTTTTTCATCATTCATTATAGGCAAAATCTAAAAGAAAATGGAATATCTGTACCTTTGAAACGTATCCTTCTGGGCTAGTCTAATTTCTGCCTACATTTTTTATCTTACGCAGGAAACTTTAAGCATCCTTAAGATTATATGAGAAAGGCCCAAATCAGACCCTGTCCTTGATACCATTCACTTTCCCTCCAGCCCACAAATGATTTATGGCCATACTGTGCAGTGCAGAGTATCAGACTTGGAGTCAGAGAACCTGGGTTTGAATACTCATTCTGAATGTTAGTTCAGCCACTAATACTTGTGTGGCCTTGGACAAGTCACCTAAACTCTCCGGGCCTTAGTTCCTCATCTAGAAAATGAAGGGATGGATGACCTCTGAGACTCCTTCTAGTTCTAAATTTATAATCCTACAATTGAGCTAATCTAACAAGGATACCATGGCACAGGCTCATAAATGTACAATTAATCTCAAACCTTTTCACCTAGGTGACTGCCCCTTCCCAGCTCTACATACATCCCTTAGGTCAGGATGCACAGCGCAATATATTTGTATTGTTTCTTTTCCCTCTCACGGCTGCCTTTCATGTTTACCCTAATCAATTTTCATTTCTATAAAAGTGGTTGGGGGTGGGAGGGGAGGAGAGAGAATATAGGGACAACCGTCTTGCTTGCCCTGCTCACATCATCAATATGATCCTGTCCATAACCAATCTGACTACCCTTCCAAACACTGCTAACTTTAGGGAGTCGTGCAGTACCCTGCAGCACAAGCCAAGTAAAATTTGGATGTCTCCAGGCAATTAAAGCTGACTTCTATGTATATGTCTATCTGGAGCAGGAAGGGCCTGTTTAGGTAATCAGAAAACCCAGTCTTGCCTCAAACCTCAGAGCACAATACTGTATACATGATTTTTTGGTAACCCCTCTTCTCATGCCCACTGGAAAATGTAGCTGTAGCGATGGCCTTGGAAGTCTAAGAACTGGCTGAGGAGCACTCGGGTTTATCTCAGGGTGGCTCCAATGTGGTTCTGAATTGTTAGGCCTGACAAAATAGAACAAAATCCATGATGAAGCAGAGCACTGTTTAACAGTTCACCTAATTAACTAAAGGATCATACAATTTTAGAAGGGACCTTAAAGGGCCACCTGGTCCAACCACTTCATTTTACAGACAAGGAAGTCAGGAATCAGAGAAATAAAAAACAGTAGCCTGAATTTACATAATGTTTTAAAATTTACAAAGTGTTTCACATATATTATCTCCTACGATTCTCACAACAACCCTGTGAGGCAGGTGCTATTTTATGAGGAAACAAAATTCAAGGCGTTTAGGGTCATATAGCCAGTAAAAATCTGAAGGAAGATTTGAACCTGGGTCTTCTCCACTCCAGTTCCAAGCACTATGCTCTGTGGCCATGCAGTGATTTGCTACAAGCTACAAAGTTCTAACAGTCAGGATTTATGTATTCTGGTTTGAAGTTTTCTGTTGGTTTCTTTTTAAACTATATCATGCTGCCCACTCTCAACACAATAGCTTAAAGTACACATTAAATGAGTCTGTAGGACTTCATGGTACATGATGTTCATCATTTACATTATCAGAGAACACGATCCCTGGGTTGGAAGAAACCTTAAAGGCCACCTTGTCCAACCCTTATCTGAATAAAAATTCCTTCTACAACATACCACATCAAGTCTGTACTCAGAGACAACTGGTGAAGGGAGATATCCACTATTCTGCAGATAATCCATTCCATTTCTGAACATACAAACTGTTACAATATTTCCTTGTTTCCTAGAATTCCATTTCCACCCCCATCTTTGGAGTATGGGATGTGGTATACCAAAGGATGATAGCACCAACTTTCAGCAGCTGAGGATTATTATTTATAAGGTAATTTATAAGGTAATACATGGCAAAATACTAAATTAGAGGGGCTACAGCATAAACAGGAATGAAAAGGTTTGCTTCCTGGACATTAGTATTATTATCATTCATGGGACTCCCCAAGAGAAATGCAGAGGCAAGGACATGCACTTGAGATGAAATATCACCTGAATTCTTTTTAACTGGGACGGATCCTTCAATGAAAGAGTTCTAAGAGGACAGGTTATTGCAAGGTACTCATCTTAGCACTATCCAGATGTTGAGGTTAATATATAATTCAGGTGTCATCTGCCAAAATGCACTAATGATCTATTTGCACCTAGATAGAGGATGTAGGACTTCAATTTCTTTCTCATGCAGAAAGTTAGTTCAAAACCCCATTAGACTTCCAAGCACAGTATAGAGTCTGGCAGTCCAAACAAGTAACATGAGAGTGCTAGTGGGTGGAAACCACCTAATATTAATTCACTAACAGTGTTTCCTATGTATCTGGGCCCAGAGATCTTCAAATGATTTGTCACAATTAATCATCAAATATAGATGGAATTTTTTCAGCATCAAATCTCACACACAGACACCAAACTGCTTAAATACAGATTTATTGCAAACCAACACAGAAATGTGGAGTGTGTGAAGGAGAGCGGCCTCAGGATGTAGCACGCCCTACTCTGCTCAGAATCTCTGTTGGTGGAACTTAGTGGCCAAGTTGCTGCTGTCGGTTCTAAAACAAAGAAAACTGGTAGTATGCACTGACTCTAGAGGGCTGGACTGGCACATGGACACAAAGGGTAGGGCACACGTTTAAGAAGAGAGACAGCAAATCATTACAGAGCAGAGGATGAAGGTTTAAAAATACAGATGAGATTAATGCATATCCTGGAAAGGTGGGTCTAAGTCTAAGTCTTCCAAGTCTAGTCACTTAACATGCACCAGAGAAGCCTGCTATTACAAGGAATCTTAAAGTGAGTCCTTCTGTAATGTAATTAAATACCCCTAAAAGTTCCTATTTTTGTGTAGTGGTTTCATTTCTTTTAATAGGGGCATGCTAGTAGAGCTTCTATCATTTGATACTTCCTAACAAAAAGACAGAAGACCTGAGCCACATTAGGGCACTACCAAATGATGCCCTGGGTAGAAGAACATTTACAATAGAAGTGAATCATTTAAAAAAATCTTCCAGTAGTTTATGGACAGATTATCTATTGTCCCTGCTTTAGCCAAACCACATATACCCTTCTGCAAAGCTCCTATACTATGGGTACTCAAGAAGGTGGCAAAACTATGAATCAGAAACATGCTAAGAAGAGCCAGAGATAGACAAAAAGGTTCAAGAGGTGCATATAAACATCATTAAAAATTAAAAATAAAGGAATCTTTAAACAAAGAGCATTCTGTCTGTGAAATGCTACTTTGGAATGAGGGTGTACTAGCCTCACTCTCTTTCATGTGAACTCAGAGAGAAATGAGCGGAGACCCTGGCATTTTAGCAAGTTTCAAAGCACAAGGCCTTCGTAATAGGCAATGGGTTTTCATTTTTTTTTGCTCTGTATTTCTAGAGAACAGTTCTGTTCTGATTCATAAAAACCATAGCCTTAGTGACTAGCCCCCCAAAAAACATGGTGGTGTCCACCATCACTTCCCCATGAGAAGATATCTCTTAGACTTTTTAGGAGTCTCTGATTGTTTGGAATGAGCTGATGCTGCCCCCCAACACCACCTGGACACCTTAACACTTCTGATTCTGAAGAGATGCACCATTTACCTCAAGAGGTTGACCTTGATCTTTTCTGCAGAAAAAAGTGACATGTCCTATGGAAAGTTCCCTGGGGATGAGAGTTGAACAGCTTTCTTATAACAACTCCAAGGAAATAGTGTGGCTGGAAATAAGTTGTAAGTCAGCGGCTGAGTCTGAAATGACAGACTCAGTAAGATCACTACTTGGCTGCTGGACTCACCCACCGTGAAGAATTGCTTGTCCCATAAAAATCCACCTATTATTCTCTCAGAAAAGGGTCACATAATAACATGTAGGTATTCATTATGGATGACCATAAATTGGGGTGGGGTTCTAAAGTAAAGAGACATTTCTCTAGGAAATCAGAAAAAAAAATTGATATAATTTATGTTCCTGGATTATCTGTTAACCAGGTATGCAATGCTAGGTGAATCTGAAGGCTTAGCTTTCTCAGTGGTGGTCAAATGGGATGGGGATAAAGACTGAATCAAAAGTGGGCTATGTTTATATCTTTCGAGCTAACAGTGATATGCTGTTTCTAAGGAACGCTGAAAAACAAACGTCCCTAGACAAGCAAAGAACTAATGAGTACGTGTTCCTAGACCTCAGAAGGAACAGTCAGCAGGCCCACTTCACCTGTAAGCAGGTTTTAAAGTGCAGTTCCCATATCTGTCAATAGCACAGATTAGCAAGACGGTTGTTCTTCAGGTGTTAATAATAAGATTCTTTCTCTTAAGTAACCAAGTGAGCAGTGACCACTGTTGCATAGTAGGAACAGATGGGAACAAAGATATAAACTGAAGCCAGCTCAAACAGAGCAGGATTTTGAGAGTACCAAGTTCCTGACATTTCTGCCTCTGTCTGCTCAGCACATGGGAGCCAGCATCCTTATTCCTACCCTTTTTGCAATTATTCTTCAGGGACAGCAATGCTTAAACTGGAACCCTTGAGGGCATCAATGATATCCTATGCAGGCTACCCATTAATCATTTGAGGATTTCCACTGCTTTGTGCCTTTCAACAGAGGGCAAACATATCATTCATTGTATGCTGAAATATCTCCCCTGTTCCCAGAGACTATCCTGCCTCCCACTGAGCTCGACATTCATCCAGGAGATGTATGTAAACAAAATATAAGTTGTGGATTATGGGGGCTGAAAAGAGACTTCAGGATAAACACAGAAGAAGAGTGGCAGCTAGAAGTCCATTACTCAGACAAGAGTGGGATAGAATGCATGGCCAACACTGGGACGAACAGAGGGCACTGGCCTAATCTTCCCTGGCCTCAGAAATGCCATGATTAGACAGCTCTATCCTGCACTCTTTCCCAAGACAGAAATGTCTACCTGCAGCTTATCTTTTCTGGGAGAACTTGCACCTCCTTCCAATATCTGGGCCTTGTTCAATAAGAGAGCAACAAATAAAGACACCAGAATCCCAACTAGGCAGGTTTCTGCCACTGTGGGGGCAGCTTCAACTCTTTACTGTTAGTGCCTGGGAGGCACCCAAAGGCAGGAAAAAAATAGGACTTGACAAATTGATGAGCAAGACTGAATGTGGAATTTTTAAACAAAAGGCCAAACTAAGGGGCTTCCTGAAACAGCACAGCCTGAAGCAGCCATCACAGAGCTGCTTCTCATCAGCACATGTAAGTCACACAACTCCAAATCACTCCAACAACTGCAGGGAAAAAACCCAGCAACAGCAACTCCCCTTCTCCCCCCCAACCCTCCCTCCCCACCCCCTAAAGAGAACTGAGCAGAATCGCATCAAAACAACAGCAAGCAGAGAACACAGAAGGAAAGAAAATGCAGCTTGCGGTGGCTGGTTACCGTGGTGACGGGAGTATGTAATCCTGCATTTGCCAGGACATCTCCCTCATGCATAACAAATATTCTAACTTGGCATCAGCCATAGCAGTTGCTATGCATTAACCTTCCCTCTACTCCCCCCCCTTCTTCCCTGAAACAGACAGGAAGGGAGGACGGAGGAGGTTGGGGTACCCAAACACCCCTTGCAAATAAAGATGGATACAGGGGTGGACAAGATGAGTCCCAGGCATGCATGACAGCCTTGGAGGAAAAGCAGGAGGGAAAGAGCCCACACAAAAAGGCCTTTCTCTGCCTTATCCTCTACGTCCAAGAGCTTGATTTGAGTAAGTTTTCTTTCCTTCTTGTCATTAAAACTGCACAGCCCCTGGGGAGATGTTGAACATGGATGGGTCGAATCTCTGGCCTCGGAAGGGGGAGCCTTCTGCATCCCATCCTTTCTTCAGCATCTCATGGACTTTCTACAAACAAAAAATATAAAAATTAACATCACTGCAAGGCACTGCAAAGTTTTTTCGTTTGTTTTTTCCCCAAAGCAGGTTTCCAATCAATAGGCTTCTTTTGCTTGCTTCTTTTAATTTTTGCCAGTGGCCAGAAAGGAGGGTGGTTGGCTCATGGAACTGGCCTGGTGGAAGTGGCTTGCTGTTACTTATATGGGGCAAGCAGGGCAAGCAGACATATTTTCAACAGCTGATACCTTCCATCTTGCCACCACAGAGCAGAAGTATTAGATACTCTTTGGAATGCATTTCCTTTTTCACTACCATCAGGCATCTCTGTCCAAAATCCAAAAGGAGGTACAAAGCAGAGGCAATTTCAGACTGATGTCTCTGTCTTTCACCTACATCAATTTAGGAACAACTCTAGCAAGTGGGCAGCATGGCAGAGTGGGTTAAGATCTGGCCTCAAAGCCAAGAAGGCCTGGGTTCAAGTCCCAACCTGTCAGTGCTCTACACAATTCTCTAAGACTACAAGGTGGAGAGAAGATGAAGAGAGCTCTCCATGACAATAAAATCACAGATTTAGACCCCGATTCCTATCCCCTACCTGAGAAAAAGTATGGTTCCTACTTTTCCACAAATGGGATACGATGATTAGGCAAACAGCATAGGAGAACTAGCCTTAATGAACCAAACTGCTCTAGTCAAACCCAACAGATTACTTCAGTATGTGCTGCATAGTAACGGATGCCAGAAAGTTCTCCCGTATGGTTTAAGAAAGCTTTACTGTAGTAATGGCGAACTGGTTCCTGCTTTACCCGCCTCTGACCCAGCTAAATCACCTTGCTGAACTCTCCATCAGAGCTGTACTTCAGAGCAAGCTAGTTCCTCCCAGTGTATGGCCCTTTGGGAACTGGCATCAATGGAATCACAGACATCCTTAAATGAGGAGGAGCAAATTTGTGGAGATAAAGCCCCAGGACCATGCACAGTTCAGCTGCTCCACTCAAGATGGAGTTTGCCTCAACTGATTTGACCTGGCTTTTTCTTCTTAAATCATTTCTTCAAAGATTCTTTTGGATGTCCTATGACGGTGACTAGCTACTTTGTAGGAGAAACTATGCCAACTGAAGGATGTGGCCTTTAGTACTAGGGAACAATTTCTCAATTTCTTAGAATGAACTGAGAAAGGGTAACATTCAGGAACTGGCTAGAGACAAGAGGGTCACCTTCCCCCTCTATGAGGCCAGGGAAATTGTAGGTCTTGTTTTCAGAAGGCTCAAACATCAATAACTTGATAAACTACTGACCTCCCAACTGACCGACAATATAGTAGGAATAAAACTCATGCCTCTGAACACTCAGCATTAGAGCAATTTTCTAAGATACCTGATACATATAGCTTTCTGCTTGGGCTGGAAAAGTGCCCTCAAAAGGATTACAGCTTTTAAAACTCAAACAAGCAAACTATGGATACTTAGCTGTGGAGTAGTATCTCTAAGGAATTAATGACAGTTACTCTCAACTTCTTGTATCTAACTAACCTATGTGGCTCTCTGTAAAGCTTTTTTTCCTAAGGTAACTATAATCTGGTATCAGATGACATCAGCACTGATGCTGCAGGATGTCTAGGAAAGAGAATGAAGTCAAACAGACACTATTAAGAAGAAACATAAATTTAGCATTTGTTTTTTCTTTTATTAAAAATCTTCCCCACCTGTGAGGAAATGTTTCTCTAATCAGATGCCAAGGTACTGGGATTTCCAATACTGAATTTTTATAAATAAATAGTACCTACAGAGATAATAAAGCCATAAAGAGAGACGAGAAGCAACTCCTTACCATATAATTCTGTCTCAGTCCTAACTTGCAATTCCTGCTGTTAAAAAAAAAAAATGAGCCTTTTCATGGCAGTCTTTTTTTTTTTTTGTGGTAGCAAAGTGATTACCTATCAGTTGGGAAGTAGCTGAACAAGCTGTGATACATAAATGTAATGGAATATTTCTGGACTGTGATGGATTTAGAAAAACACTGGAAGACTTGTATGAACTGATAGAGAGCAAAAAAAGCAGGACCAGGAGCATGGATACACAAAGATAATCAGGTAACCAATAACACAAAAAGGCAGCTACTCTCAGCTTAAATACAGTGACCAATCTTGGTCCCAAAGGACAGGGGATGAAACACTTTCTTCCTCTCTGAGAAGTGGGGATTCATGGTTTCAGAACTGCATATGCTATAAAGTCAAGTCACCATGCTGGCTGGTATTTCTTAATTGTTTTTCTTCATTATGAAGCAGGGTTCTAAAAGGGAGATGAAATAGTGTATCAGAAAATAACTGGCATAAAAAACAAATGGCATCAATAAAATTGTAAAAATTAAAATTAAAAAGATCGAGTGTCTACCAAGTAAGATTTTAGAAATTAAATCAATTACACAGTAGCAGATGCTAGAGAGGTTTCCCTATGTGTTGTGGAGAATGGTCCTTGCTGGTCTGCTTCTGATCCGCCTCAGGCACCTTCCTGCTTTTCTGGCAGAGTCACACTTCAGGCAGCCTCACTCTTCCTAGTGCACTTCGATGAAAGAAGTGCCCATTGAAGTCTAATTCCTACCTCTGTGTACTCATGTATGATTTCTCTCTGCCTTTTAAATGCTATTCTAACACTGAGGTTTCCCAACATATGACATTCACTGAATGAGTCCTGTTCTGCCTGGGGATTATGCTGCCTCAATACTACCTACCCCATTCTAGCCTCGTATTCTTTTCTACTATTCTCCTATCTTCATCAGATCTTTTTTATCACTAGAGATTTTACCCTAATGGCCTTGCCAGTCAATTTCTGTTCCTAGAGAATCAAGTGCTACTTTTTTGCAGTATAACAACAGAATGACACCTTCTAGGTGCTACTCCTGGAGCCTAGACTCGTGATCATACATTGGGGTAACCATGGACAAGTGGGATACCCCTCAGTTAAAAGGTCCAATACTAAAAGACAGAGGCTGTCTATAGTACATATCAATTTACATACTAAGGAATTTCTGGGGATTCTTGGCTTACTTGCAGAATTAGAGAAGGTAAGGGACCTGTAATTATACTCTAAGAATCTGCTCTGGGCCTTGTTCGAAGTCAGAAATTCAAGAAAAGTCAGGCTAATTTTGCTTCACTAGGGGTAAGCCGACAGAGAATTGAGTGTAGATTAGTCAGCTAATTAATAAGTGTGCCCACCCAAACTATCCACATAGCAAGGGGTGGGGAAAGGAGGGAAAAATGGAGGAGGGAAGGAGAGAGAGGGAAAAGGGAGAGAGAAGGAAGACAGAGAAAGAGAGAGAGAGAGAGAGAGAGAGAGAGAGAGAGAGAGAGAGAGAGAGAGAGAGAGAGAGAGAGAGAGAGAGAGACTGATTTACCTTATCTGTTTTTAGAAATAAAGATCATGTGAATGCCTACTTTCTGGTTCATGGTAGAATGTACATAGCAGAAATTTAATACACGTTCACTAATAGCAATTACATATACCAGAGATAAAGTATGAAGCAAAGAAATAACTAGAATTTGAATGCAATCTAGATAGAATGCTATTGTCTTGGAGATAGGTAACTCTCCTTAGACCAAAACTAAATATGGAAAACAGTTAAAGTAATTGACCAATCCAAAAAAAGAAGATGCAAGGTAATCATACAGAATTTCAAATTATGACAAGAATGTTGTCATAAAATTATCATTTTAACAATTACAACTCACATTTATATAACACTTTAAAATCTACAAAGTTTTGTTTTTTAACAATAAATTCAGCTCCAATATCAGTATTAGCATTCTTATCCTCATCTTACAGATAAAGAAAACTTTAAGGCCAAAAAACCCTCACAATTTACCTGGAATGCCAGAAACATAATTTGCAAATCTGGTAAAATTAAGAGAGCAGTCAGATATGCAGAATTTCTTTAGGACACAAATCAGTGAGCTAGATACAGGACAGCCTATATGTGTTCCTTGACTGAGGAATATTCCAGAAGTCCATGGCTACCTAAAATATGATTGCCAAAAGTCTGTACTATAGGAACAGTAATAGGCATATCATACTGCTATAATGCCTTAGAAGTTTTCATAAATGGAAAATATTAGTATTACTGACAATAACTGGCATTCATTTAAAAGTTTCAAAGTACTTTATATACATGATCTCATTTGAATTTAACAACCCAGTGCTGTAGAAACTACAGATATTATCATCCTCATTTTATAGTGAGGAAAGTGAGGCTCAGACAAATTAAATAATTTGTCTATGGCCACACAGCTAAGTGTAAAGAATAGAATTTCAACCTAGGTGTTCTTGATTCCCAGGTCCAGCATATTATCTATTCTTCCTAACACGGTTTAACTATAACTTTGCCAATTCCACAAAGCAAATGATTTCCAACAAAGAGTAATGCCCAAACTCTTTTCTTCACAAATAAAAGATACAGTAATTTCTTGATCATTACAAGGAAAGTGCTTTGTAAACCTTTAGAGTACTCTATAAATGTGAGCTATTATAATAATAATTCTAGAGGAAGTTTGTAGGTTAATAATAATAGCTACAACTTATGATTTTTCGATAGCAGTCTTCTTACATATGCTCATACAGCAACTTATATGTGAAAATGTAACTAGATATAACAAAATGATGATACAAATTCACATTATAGAGGACACAAGCCTGCCTTCTATGTCTGTTTCACCAGAAAATGATTCAAATACAGCAAATGCCATTATTATTTCCAATCACTGTTAGGAGCTTGGAGGTAAATAAGGACAATCTGGGAAAAATGTGTCAGACCCTTAAAAACACAGAAAAGTGAGATAAACTATTTTCCAGGCCTAGTTTTGATGTCTGTGCTGTTTGAGGAGAGTGTCTTCTCCAGGTCCTTGTGGTCTTCATTTTACTATCCATCACTCAATCATTTTCATTTTATTCGCCTTTCAGTTATACAAGAAGGGAGAGAGCTTCCTGTCTTCTTAAGTTAAACCTTATAGTCTGAACTTCCTGATGAGACCAGAGGGAAACAAGCAGGAACCTGACTGGTTCTCTTTACCAATAAGGCAGAGTTGATACTGCATCCAAGTAACCTCAATATAACTGAGTAATCTCCATACACAATGTGGAAACTAAACCTTACTGTGTAAAGACAGAATGCATAGAAAGTATTCCATTTGTACCATATGATGTCATCAGATTATCTAACTCTGAATGAATGCAAAAGAGGCAAATAACATTACCTTCTCCCACTTTAGAAGACTAATTCTGCTCTAATTTAGCACTAAGTTTTTGCCTGGTTTGTGCCTAGACTGCAGAATCCCAAGGAAACTGAGCCAAAATCTGGTGCTCTCTGGAAATTTGGGTTTACTCTTGCTAAGGCCTGGACCCTTAGGTTCACTCTGGAACAGAAGAACACTCTTGACCTTCCCCTAGGCAAGTTTCAAAATATTATTAACTTGATTACTTAACATTATTAACTAGGTCAAACTGGATTTTCTGAAATCAAATCAAAACATTGGCCTTTGGAGGTGAAAAAGGTGATAGTTGCTTATGGTATCATTTGACCCTTGTGTGTTAATCCTATGAAGCATCTTCAAAGACTTTTGTGGAAAGAAAAGGCAAGCAGTTTCTCCTGAGCAGGATACAGCCCCATTTTATATTGGACCACTTTAGCCCCAAATGAGCAGTTCTTTGTTTATGGATAACTTCAAAACAATAGAAGGTAAGCTCCTCAAGGACCAAATTAAGGCAGTAACTTGTACTTCTGCCTTTGTAACTCCAGCACCTAGCACTATTCCTGGCATTTAGTAGGCAATTAATAAATGCAATTGAATGAACAAGCCATGAAAGTAGAGAAGAAATCAAACTCTCCCAGAATCAGCTTAGGTTCCTGGAAAGCAAGGCCTTATGAAGAAGGGCAGAGCCTTTGATTCAAAATGAGGTCAGACTTATTCCAGACACTTCTAGGAAGCCTGGACAACTGAAATGAGACAGAGGGGGAGAGGTAAAGGCCGAGAAGAAATGTACTGAAGAGAGTGGAGATGGGAGAGATCAGATTGAGTGGACATAGTAATCAAGTACCCCTCTTTAGATAGAAAAATTTGATTTGTTTTAAGTATTCCAACGTTAAGTATTCCAATTCCAATTATAAACTGGCTTATGAAATTTTCCTTGCACTGTGCAACTCTAGTCCATAAAGCATCTGACTGTTGCTCGTACAAACTGCATTAATGACAAACTATAATTAAAATAAGGAAAAAAGTAATTTGGAATATTTCTTCATGACAAAAATTCAATTTTATTTTTAATAGCCCAGTTTCTTATGGATTCACATCTGGATAAGCTGGTAGACTTGCTAGATTGCCCATTTGGTATCCATCAAGCAGGCATGTGAAGCCCTACTTTTGGCAGCTGGCATTTAGGTACTCCATTTTAACCTTAATCAAATAACAAATGTTTTCTAATCCCATTGAATGTAAACTAACCAGACTGAAAAAAAGAATTCTTGAATTAGGTCCAAAGAAAAATTTACAAATAAATCTCTTCTACATTTTGGATAGCCAATGGATAAAGGCAACCTACCTAAGAAAAGCAGCTAAGTAGGACTAAGTCTAACTGTCCAAATATGTGCAAAGGTCGTTTTAGAAATAAAAGGTCCTTACAATCTAAAGGCCATCTAAATTAAGTTCTATGATCTGGGCTACTCTCAGGTCCTAGGTATAGTAGCCTACATTGGACACATACAGAATTAACTGTACGCATTTTTTTTTAAGGGATATAAGGCATACTTAAAAATCTCATCAGTGGGCTACATTTCACTGAGTATTCAGTTCTGCAAGTCTTGAAATGATTCTTAATATGAAGAAAAAGATAAGAGACTTATGTAATAGGTGAATTTGAGGGGAAAAGGAAAAAAAGAGTATATTTTAATGAAATTGGTTTTGAGTTTGTGTGTGAAAAAGGGCTGGGAAGAGCTTTGACAATCACTATGAGTATACCTAAGGGTAGAGATCTTGGCAGTGGATGTCACTATGAAGCCATATGAGTCTAATTAATCAGGCACACAATAACATAGCTTTTTAAAAAAATCTGGAGGCCATGAACATTAGAAGTGCTTCCTTCAATCGATCAATAACTATATGTAAAGCTCTATGTACCAGGCACTGTGCTCAACACTGGCCCTATCTATATAAAAAAACCAAATGGATAAATCAACAATAAAGAATAAATATATTACTTCAGGCATCCCCCAAATTCCACCACATGCACACAAGTCTAAATGTTCTGCTTAATTTACATTTCACTGTCACACTGAAGTTCAAATAAATGGTACTAACTGCTTATGTGGGACAATGCCAAGTTAAAAATAATTTCTGAGAAAAGCAAGTTTTTTTCTTCTCTGCTTAACTACCCTTAACCACTCTTCAGATTACAAAAACAGAAAGGAAGAATTTGCACATTTAATTGGCCAATTTTTCCTACTAGTAGTTTGTTTACATTGGGTTCTATAATGGGCAGATATTAACCAGTTTCATGTTTGTTTGTGGCTGGAATCTTTATATTACTTTCATCACTGCTCCCCTTTTCCCCAAAAAAATCCTACTAAAAAGGTGGGTACATTCATATTCTTTCAGTTTAAAAGTAAACTCGGGAGTTCTATATTCCCCACCATGAGCTCTCCACTTACTAGACCTGCACCTGAACTGCTGATAGCAGGAGGGATCTATAACACCATGCCTATGCTCTCAGACATCACTGGTCACATGGAGCATATCAGTGAAGTGAGAAGCACAGTTCATGTAGTGGCTTCTCTGGCTAGCCAAGGGCTAATAAGTTGACAATGCACTTCATTAAAGCTAACAAATATCTTTGTTACTTAGTTTAAAGTAATTACACCCCAGTGCCTCCTCTTCACTGAGCTACGTGTGATATTTCTGAAGTGCTCCTGATCTGCATCAGTGGAGGAAGTTTCACTGATCAAAAACTGGACTAGACAAAAAGACCAATGTGAAAGCATTGGGTCCCATCAGAGCTTGGACTAGCTTATGGCTCTGGAGTTTGCCCTGTAGCTTTTTGCCTGTCAAAGGCCAGCCTATCCAGTACAACACAATCCTCTTCATCCACCACAACCAAACATTCCCTGTTTATTTTATCAATGTTAATCTGCAGTGGTTAGATTCTTAGTCCTGATGACATCAGCATAATTTCATTTTCCTTTTGACTCCAGGGCACCAGAGAAAAACACATCAATACAAGGACATGATATAGGGGTAAAAGGGGAAAGGGGGGGGGGGAGAGAGAGAGAGAGAGAGAGAGAGAGAGAGAGAGAGAGAGAGAGAGAGAGAGAGAGAGAGAGAGAGAGAGAGAGAGAGAGAGAGAGAGAGTGTGTGTGTGTGTGTGTGTGTGTGTGCTCACTGGTCACCTCACTGGTCACCAGTGATGACTGCCTGGAAGCTGCTTTCTGAGGTAGTACTTGATACCTAAAAGTAGAAAAGAACATGAGAAAGCAATTCTTCCCAATACTGCACTAAGCAATTCCCTAAATTCTATATGTCCTCCCTATTTCTTCTTTTCTTCCCAGTTCTTCTACTGTACCTATTCATTTGCATGAAATAAAACCTACAGCATCTTCTGGGAAGGTAAGCAGCTGCTTGGAAAGTGTCTCCTTATATTTCTTCAAAGGATACTATAGGAACATCAATCTGAGCTCATACCAGCTCATGGCTCTGGGGTTTGCCCTGTAGTTTTTGGTGGTAGTCAAAGGTGAGTCTATCCAGTACGGCATGTTCCTCTTCATCCACTGTCGCCATTGAACGTTCCTTGTTTATTTTGTCAATGTCAATTTGCTCCTCTCCTTCCAGGATAGCACTCCACCAGTACTCTCCAACCTTATTCAGATTAATCTGGAGACAGAAAAGAATAGAAATCATTTTAAGTACATGAAAATGATAACAACTGCTAATCAACAGAGCCAACAACTTAAAGGACCAATTCTAGAATTATCAATCCATTTGTGTAAAGTGGTGAGACACAGGTCTGTCTACTCAGGAGTGTGAGTCCCAGAGAGAAATAACTACTGCCAGTTATTGTACACATATAATCCAACAAAGGATACACAGATGCTAGACGAAGCTTTGGCAAAATGGAAAGCAAAGTCTATCAGAGTCTTTCCCAAATGTCAATTAAAAAAATCAAACGAATCTATAAAGCCATTCATTTGTTTTCCATTTCTACAAATTACCTAAAAAACACCAGGTGGACAAGTATAGTCCCAATCTCCCACATTCCAAACATTCATTCATTCATTCTATACCTACTATACCATAAGAATACATGGGCTTTGCCACAGTCAGAGCCAAAAGGGAGACTTTACTTTAGCATCACAGAAAGCTGCAGAACTAATCATGTCTGAGTAAAGAGTGCACTAAGAATAAAAGTAGTGCACCAAAGAGGCTCTCAAAGAGGTACTTACAAGATACATACAGAGTAAATGGAAGGAAAGAAACAAGCATTTATTAAGAGCTTACTCTGTGCCAGGCACTATGCTAAGCACTTTACCAATATTATCTTATTTGATCCTCCCCATCAACCTTGGGAGGTTAGGTGCTATTATTATCCCCATTTTAGAGTTGAGGAAACTGAAGCAGACCTAGGGGTTAAGTGACTTGCCCAAGGCCACAAAGCTGGTAAGTAACTGAGGATGGATTTTAACTCAGGTCTTCCAGTCTCCAGGTTCAGTACTCTAGTAGTCACCGCACAAGCCAGCTTCTCAAGCCTTTGAGAAGTCTGAAACTGAGATGAAATACACTGTGGTTAGTCCTCAGCTAACCACCTAGTATAGCATAGACAAATGAAATTCACCAATAATTCAAATATCTCATTTCACTCAGTAACTTTACCCACTTTTGTATTTGTTTTTAAAACCAGAGGCATTATGTAGTAAAATGTTCTGACTTGTTTTTTTCACTTTCTTTTACTTCTACTGATGGTTTTAAGAAAGTGTTAAAAGCAAAGGAAAACAATAAGGTACACAGTGACATGATAATCAGTCCCTAAGGCAACCAAGGATTCAAAATTTAACAATATTTATTACCTAATATGTACTGGGCTAAGTGCTGGGAAAAATACAAATATTTAATTTAAAAAAAAAAAAGGCACAGTTCCTCCCCTCAGGAAGCTTACAACCTAGTAGATGATGTTTGATCATACAGAGAAATTTCAGTGAGAAAATGCATGAGATTTAAGGGCACTGGACTAGGAGTGAAGCTGCCTGACCTCTAGCTTTAGATTTAGTACTGACTAGCTGTGCAAACTTGAATCATCTCATCTTCATGGCCCTGAATTTCCTCATGTTTTACAGAGGGTGTTACACTAGGAGATCTGTAAAGGTTTCTCCCAGCTTCAAAATCTATGATTTCCTGAGTTAAATTTTAGGTGTGGCAGATGGCTTAACAGACTAAAGTTAAGACTACAGACTGGTGACAATGTGTGTGCCTCAGTTTCCTACTCTGAAGAGGAAAGTGTTTTCTATGTGCTCCGTATTTCCTATGAGTAAACCAAACAGATCAGTCATTCAGTTACTAACATATGTTGAATACTTGGCACTCTCCAGATGACAGATAGTAGAGGGGTGTGTGTGTGTGTGTGTGTGTGTGTGTGTGTGTGTGTGTGTAAGAGGGGGAAGAGGGAGAAGGGGAGAGGGGGAGAGAGAGAGAGTGAGTTAGAGTTGTTAGCCCTGGTAGAATATAGCCTGGGTCTCAAATGGCTTTAAAATATCACCTATTGACCTGAGCGAGTCACCTTCCACAATCCTAAAGTCTGGCCAAATAAATCAACAGGACAGCTCAAAAAGAACAGATGCTCCATTCTCCTGTTCTCTCCCACAGTTAGAATCCCTGTGGGATTAAAATGTGGGTCAGAACTCAAAGAAATTCTGTCTTAAAAGCTTAGTACAAAAGATTATAATTTCTAACGAACTAACAGATGGAGGTATTAATAGAAATGGGCCTGTGAAAGATCTTATAAAGGAAAATATCTCTTCCCCTCCCCCAAACAGGGTCCAACTACAAGATAAAGAACTATGATCATTCTCTGGGCATAACTACTTGGGCAACTAAGCAAGCTGCAAATACAGAAAAACAGCCCTTCTCTGACTGTCTACTGGGTTGGGGAGGAAGAGGAAAAAAGTAATAAAGTTAACAGATTCCTAAATGCTATCCATCCTCTACCCAAAATGCCAGCTCTCTGTGGCTTGGACTAGATAACAGACAATGCCCAAGGAGATTACTTACAGTTTACCAAAATCGAGGTTTATATTGATTTTCCCATTTCCAGACCCTAAGGTTGGCTTACTCTTCCCCAAGTGGACTCTGTAATTTCTTCATATTTATACAGCAGTCATCAATGATTTCCAAAGGAGAAAGTCCTGACCCTATTTACTTAGTTGGACAAAATTTAGACCTTCAATACAATGTAGTAAAAACTCTTTTAAGTGGGAAACATACTTCTGGTTTTCCTCACTGTAAAGTTCAATTCTATGTGTATGTATATAAATACATACTACAGACATACACACACACACACACACACACACACACACATATACACATACACATATGTACAAAATGGGCTCATATGATAGAAAACATATTTAAACATAAGTTCTACTTTGCTTTTCATTTACTACCTAGACATTACCATATTTCCCTACCTAGAAAATGACTCACATGAAATGGGCCATTCAAAATCTCAAACCAAAGAAATCTTGGAAGCTTTTACTATTGTTTTGCTGTTGTTCAAAAAAGAGAGAATAGATCATTTCAGTATGAACATTACCATTTCTGCAGAGCAAATAAGGTTTTATTGTGCAACTGTGAAGAACACAAAAGATCTAAAGTTTTGCTATTCATTAACTGACCACTTTGTTTCATTAGCTGAAACAATTTTCACCTTTAAATATCAGTCAGAAGTGAATAACCAATTCCCTTTGTCCCTACTTCTCCTTTCCCCAGAGTGACAGTGGTATTATCTTCCTGGAAAATAAACATACATTTTTTAATTGAACTGAAACCTGCCCAAATTCCAATACAAGTGAGGTAAATGCATTCTGCTTCATTTAAATCATCAATTCTACTTTAATTATGTTTCTGACTTGCCATACTCTGCCACTTAAATATATTGTTCTCTAGGTTTTCATGGGCACCATACATTGTATTTCAGTAACATATACACTGCAGCAAATGAAGTAACTCCAGGGTGTCATTTGTAAAGAGCCCTAGGATGCTCTAGGCTGAAAGTCCTGTGATAAAGCAAACTAATCATTAGAGTAGTAATATTTTTCCACGATGCCCACAGGATGCATGACATCATAAGCAGCTCTGGAGGTGTTCATAAAGACAGGACATTTATATTCCAGTACTCATACAGAATAATAAGATTTAAACCACAGATAAATGCAATGTATTCTTAAAATTTTTACACAGTAAATTTTTACATACTCATTTTTACTGATTATTTTGCTTATTACTATAAGTTTGAGGAAAGAAGAACAACAGGAGATGAGTAGGTAGGCATAATGTTTTATCAGGTATCATGAAGTCAGTTCTCATTTTGTCAACATGCACCAAGTTCCCTCCAAAGCTACTTCAATTCCTGGCCATCCCATGAGGCTTTGTGAGAGGGCAGGAGGCTCAGGGGGCTCTCATGCAAGCCCAAGATACGAGACTCCCAACCCTGTTCTAAATATCCAAAGCACTATGGATTGTATATCATGGTGTTTAAGTCTATATTTAAAGGTTAAAAAAAAACCTTTCACAATACAGGGGTCGGTTTTTATTCTAGGTATAGTGATGGCTAAGCTCTACCACTCTATCTTGCTCAGGCTACAGCAGATAGGTAGTAAAGTTTAACCTTACTCTGTTATCATGTAGCAAGAAGGGTCCAGAACTAGAACAGGTATAACCTAAAACCCTAATTTTATATAGAAATTTCAAGTCAATCTATAGAGCTGATTTGACAAAGATAAATAAGATGCTTTTTTTTCCTTCCAAGGCTTTCAGGGATTTAAAGAAGACAAAGACCCTGAGCTAAGTTGCTCTGTTCTAGAGTGTTTAGTCCCAGTTCGATCCAGGAAACAACTAGGATGAACAGAAATAGAACATATCAAGGTGAACAGACACTCTTTCCTTTCTCCCCCTGAATCTAGTTCCCAATAGGCCCAAAGTGGTTTTATACCACACTATTTTTAATGGTAGGCTTCTAGGCCTGGAAAGAAGAGAAAGAGTATCTGCAGACCATTCAAAATCAACTTCAAGATCCAGCTCTATAATAGCCCCAGAATAAGTCATCTCCTAGTTCAGAGGCCAGAGACCATTATAGTGTTAGAATATAACTTTGTGATGAATAGCATAATATTTTACATATTTTTTTTCTTGGCTATTTTACATATTTTTTTCCATTGATGCTAGAATGATTTTCCAGGGGTTGCTAACCTAGAATGTATAATCTTTTCCCAAAGACAAAATTATTATTTATTTGGGGACTATCCTTGTTATATATTACACATCTGTGGTCAGGGAACTAGAGAGAGGTTCCATAAGAGGGTCTTCCATGGTTAATTTACTAGATTAGCTAAATGTCATCCTAGAAGTATGAAACTGGTGTGAGGAAATTATAAAAAGCAGAAAAGGAGAGAAACATTGGGGTGAGAGAAAGAGGAAGCGCCAAATGGGCATTTTCTAAAGGAATTAGAAGGGGTTCTATAATGAGACTTAGTGCTTTGTGGGAGGGAGAGGGAGAAGTCACAAAAACTTTAGTCTAGAGCTCTATTCACCTCAATTCACTGAGACAAATCAACACACAATCAAGCTCCTTTTTAGCTTAAAAAGCTTCCACTAAGCATTTA